TGGCCGCAATTACTATCCCGCTCAGATGCATGGCGAAATTTCTAAAATTTTATCGCCATATTTTTGTTATCTCTTAGCATCTTAATATCTTCTTTTTATTCAGACCCGAAAACTAAGTATAGTATAAACTTGTTATGTCCCTTTATCTTGGTTTTCAGTCAAGTACAAAATTTATGAGCATCCCGATCATGCATTACTTATAAACCAAACTTGAATGCGATTACTACTTGTCTTGAATGATCTTTGAATTACCCTATTGTTTCTCATTTTTTATTAGTTGCTTGTTCATATTCACTTATTGCTTTTTTTTTATTTTCCCCTAACTTAAAAATTCGCGATTAACCATCATTCTTAAATTCGACAGAGGTATCTTTCCTTTCTTAATTCTGGTGCAAAAATGGCTCCGTAATAAACCCTAATTATCGGCTTACATCTGGCTAATTATTAAGTGTTTCATTATTGTTCTTAGATAAAATCTGTCGTAAGGATTTGCCTGATAAAGGGGATCGTTTTCAATGTTTCCATATTTATTTTTATATTCTAAGACTTATCGATTTCAATCCCAGAGTATTTACATCAGCCTCTGGTATTTTAGCCACTTTTTCGTCTACCATGTCCTCTCATTTTCTCGAGACTTGCTTACACTGATTTGATTTCAAGTATTTCTGTCACGGTTGCTAAACCGTACGAATCCCAGTTCTTATTCATATTAATATTTTATCTTTCCGACACATGCCACCCAACCAATTTATCTACCCCAACACTTCCATATATCCTTCGCATACACAAAACTAACTTTATTCTTCTAATGTCATATGCAACTTTGTGGTTCAAATATCTCATTGTTTTTCCTTATCTCTTACCATTGCATTTTTGATTAAATCGATCGTTTTCTTCGCTTTGGGCCTAGTCATCCTTTAACGTTCCTCTTTTTCGTAATCCTCTGTCACCCAAGGCATTTAACCCTCCTTGTATACAATTTATATTCTATTCTCATCAAACATTTTACCCCGACTTTTTTGTTCATCTATTTGAAAGTTCTACGAACAACTTATATCATTTTCATGCTTCTCTGCGTCCGAAGTTCATTTTCACTTGTCCTGATAACCCTAAGTCTGGCAAAAATTTAACGTAAAACTTGACTTTAAAGTTATATGTGGATGTTTGGCCGGTTTGTTGTTTTCGTGTCTATCCCCATTTTCACATCCAGATTCCAGAATTAGTTTTGGTCTGGGCCACCGCCCTATATGTCTATGAGACGTGTGCACAGTTTATCACGGCCAACGAACGCCTTTGTCAATCTCATCAAGATTGTCTACTGGTTCGCTTGACGCGTATTAGAAACCAGCAGCTATGGTACAAGAGCTAAGCCTCCTGGCCTAGTCGCCATGTTACTTCGTCTCTTGTATCTCCTTCCCATATCTAACCAATCTGCCTACCTGCCAGCCTGTTTGTCTGTGCGTAGTATGCCGCTCTCACTGGCCAGGCACAGATGATTAGGGTCTACCTTTACGTTTGTCTGACATTTCCTTCGTCTTGATACATACCTTTAAGTGTATTCCATAGATATATACGTACTTCTATGCGTGTTTTTGCGACCCAGAGGGCACATTGATCATTCTCTCCTTTGGTAGGGCCAAGTCACCCACATGCCTACAAGTCCTCATTTGAATGCAACTAGTTCATTTAGTCTCCTGCCTCATGTCTCTTGTCTCTGCTACGACCGCCTGTACGACTGCTTCTCCGTTCTATTCACAATGCCCTGCGGCCCTTGTGCTTTATTCTTTCACATGGACGATCTTCATCCTTCTAGTCATTCGTCCCTCTTCCTGTCCGCAGTCTCTTGCCGTTCTCAATGTTTATGATTCTTATTGGCTGTTGTATTGGACAGGCAGTCGTTTTATTGGTTCAATTCTACTTGATAATTACACGAAGGCGATTTATCTTTCTCGGTCATTCGTCTTTACTCCTCTCCGACGCATACAGTCATTAAGCTATACTGGTTTCAGTCTTTTATACTTCCACCTTGTTCTTCAACCTGATTGGTTAATTGGTCACTCTGTTTTTCTCTACGCCTCCAGTCTACATTCTGCTTGTATTCCGAAGTGCTGTTTTTCGTTTTACTTAATCAAAGTCCATATAATGACTCGTGCCCTATGCTCTATCCTACTTCTTTGCTCCTTATTCCCTTCTATCCGCCCCTACTCGCTTAGCTTTTATCAGCCTCTAAACCTATTTCAACTACAATTTCCTATCTAGTCCACTATAGTCACCCTATCAGCTTTGCCATCACCACACTATTCCAGCTCGCTATGTCTTGACATGACCACGTTGGTCCATTTAAAATTTTCTGTTCTCCCATTTGCCTATCCATCCTGGCTACCCGGTCAGTTGCGCCGACCTGCTTCTCTCAACTACAGACTGCCATCTTTACCACTCTCTCTCCTCTCAACCCTTGACTCTGCATTTCAGTCTACTTTCTCTATATTTTATCCAATCCAGTTCATCCTTCTCCATTATTATGTAGTCCTATTTTATTCTGCTGCTGGTGTCCATTATCGTGCAGTCCAGTCCGGTCCACTTATCCAAAACATCTACTCCAGACCATTACAGTCCATTTCATTTTAGTTCATTCAAGTCGAATTTAGTTCATTCTAGCCCAGCCTTGTATTATTTTATTCCTTCATTCTCCGCTCTGCTTTGCCTATACCTAGTCTTTTCGTGCCTCGTTCTGCCCTGACCGGCTTTGTCAAGCTCTGCCTTGCCCTACCCTGCTTTACCTTGCCCAGCTCTGCCCGGCCCTTGTCGTCTCGGGCTTGCAGGGCTCGAGACAGACGAACCTGCCTAGCTAGTCGCAACTGAGGCTTTCCTTCCGCTTGTTATGCTGTCGGACGGGCTTAGCCCAGTTAATTCTCGCTTGGCTGGACTAGAATTCTATTCATCATAACCCTTCGCGCTCGTCAAAGTATATGCCCGTATGCCAGACCAGCCAACTGGCTCTAGGCCAATTCAGCCTAGCCAAATTTTCTCGGCTTTCGCTAACTCTTGTGTTCGGATAAGAAAGCCTATCGCAACTATAACAGGGGGTTCAAGCTTTGCTGTGTCGTTAGCCCAGAGTCTTAAAACAGTTTGAACTAAAATCAATGAGTGTAATCGTTTTATTCCATATAAAAATAACCAATTAAGCCGTCGGCTGCCTCACTGCTACCTTAGTCTAGTTTTATTCTGCTTAATTTTATTAACACATATGCTAGGAAATGATGGTAATGTCCTACAGGATAAACTCGGATAGCGATCGCTTTTAGGGGTTATTTCCGATACATTTGTCATATTTTCTAATAATGTAATGTTTGCCACTTTCTTCTAGCTCTGCCACAGTTTAACTGTCAATGCGTTTGTGTACGTTTGTTTTATATACGCTAGCGAACATGTTCCCAGTTTTTTCTCTTATCATCACTATTATTGTTCCCATTGTTTTTATACAGCAGAAATTACTTTGATTCTATTTCTCTCTTTAAGTATGGGAGCGTCTGAGTTTTAGAAATTTACGAATATTTATAAATTATTCGGTTTCGACTATCAGTAAATCTAATGGAATACTAAGAGTAAATAGTTGGTTATTTGTGGGTCTATGCAGTTAGTAGTTCTGACCTCGATTAAATGAAGTCTTGCCTCTTTTTAAATAGAATCCCACTTCGCCATCCTTCGCGGAATCGTGGACTGCAGTTTGGCCTTCTTGTAACTACTTACAGCAGGTTCAGAGGAAGGTACATTACCCCCTGGACCACAGACATCGAATGCATAGAACCCCAACTGATCTTTAATTTTTGGCATATATTTGTGTTATTTTGAAATTATATATTACTTGATACCCTATTTTGAACGTTGTATTACATCATATTGTTAATATTCATTGTGATTTGGTCGCGATGCCGTGTTTGTCTACTGAATTGTTTCTAAATAGACTTCCTAAAAAGCTATTATATCAGATATTATTTTATTGCACTACGCCAAACAAAAATGTTAGCCTTCCGTTTTCTTTTACCTCATCTACGGTAAAATATATATAAAATTAATTGACACAGATAATAATATTGAATAATGTCCGGGTAAGCTACCTGTAGCTTTATCCTATGTTGATTATGTATTTATTAGTAATAATCAGGAATTAGAAAAGTTTTATATTTTTAACTTGA